CATGCTCTCAGCAGATCTCTCCTAAAGCCCTATACCTGGTTAAGGCAGCTAGTGTTCTGAGGCACAGTGAGTACAGCTGTTTTTTCCAAACAAAGTTTTCCCCTTCCAAAACTACCGCTAAAATAAACAATATATTTTCATCAACCATTTACATACAAAACATAAGCTGTATTGATTCTATCTCGGCTATTTCATGTGAAACATATTGCTGTAGGTCTACAGGAGCTGGGAGAGAATGCAATTAATTGTTTCACCTCACTTGTGCATGATATTGTAATAGAAAAAAAGTGTATAGGTGCCAATAAAAATGCCTTTTTTTGCTTCTATATGTATTTGACTTCTTGACTGTTGCACAGCATAACCGACATGGACCAGCCAGACACACAATGTGGAGGACGACTACACAGCATGTGATTTATGTGCTGTTATTCCCAGATGTCTATTTGCAGCTTTCATTTGCACTAATGCTTACTGCTAAACCAGACACTTATGCTTGAAGCAGCATTTTTATGGGATTTGTCTATGTTATCCTCTGAACCAGAAATCATGTGAAGTTCTTATGCAAAAGATAATTCTTAGCCTATAGCTAGGAATGGTCACACTAAGATGCACACTCCTAGATATTACCGTTTGTCAATGGTGACAAAAACATTAGAAGAACTGATTTGTACTAGTTTGGCCATAATGATTAATTTCTCTCTTGGCAGGACACTGACATTATAAGGCCAAATGCAGAAGGTATTGATCTTATTTATTTATTTATTTATTTCACTTTCCTTCAGGCCACAAGAGCTTTACTTACCCGGTTTACTTACCACCATGAGGTTTCTTCTGCAAAGCATTGTTTCAATGACTAGTGAATGGCAGCACATACCATTAGATAAAAAACAAAGTTAATTGTCTTTTAACATAAACAAAGACTTCAGGATTTACCCAGCAATGCAAAGTCCATTAAAATGAGATGAATCAAAACACAGAGGTGAATTTCCTTTCACTTAACCTGTGCAGAATGCTAAAACTATTAGGTTCAAATTAACATCACCTTAGCATCTCTTGCAGAGGTATTTCTGTGTACAAGGAGATCAGTAGGAAAGCCAATTCAAGGACTTGTCCTTTTCCACAGTCACAACCACTCTTTTCCTCCCTTGCCCCATGACACACAAGGTACTCAGGACATGTGGTCCACTTGTACTGGAATAACTGCTCTGGAGTTCTACAGTAATTTGGATCAGTAACTGATCTGGGACAAAATAACCCAGATTTTTCCTGTTCCAACAAGAAGGCTATATCTAATGCAGCCAATTGTGTGATTTTGAAGGAATCAGATGGCCTTTAAGACTGCTTCTAAAACATCTGTATCCAAGATCTACAGCGTAATTGTCTCCTCCATAGAGCAGTCTTGAGAAATTAAAGGAAATCATTCTGCTGACAGCCAAGAAGGAGATCTACAAATAGGAATGACTTCAGTAAATGGATAAATATGAATCTTTTTTTTTCTGATAAAAATACTTTATCAGAGTAGAAATCTATCACTTGCATTTTCTATGTTGCTCTGTAGACTATTATCATCTACAAATAGTTATAGGTTGTTTTGTAGGGTTTTTTTCTGGTTTTACTAAAGGAAACAAATTGGATACTACAAACATAGCAAATGTGATTAATCACATTTAACTCACTCTAGCTATCTGCCTGTTCTTCCCCTGCCCTTCATAATATTTGAACCCTACTGTCTGTATTCAGATATATATGAAAGAGAATGATTGAAGATAATAATGTTCCCTCAAATATTGTGAAAATCAGCAGTTAGAGGGAAGGGTAGGGCATAAACTGCTGTCCTGCTGAGAGAAAGACAAACAGATTTCTGCCTGTATACACTCCATTTGGCAGCAGCTTTCTAGCGAGTCAGCAAGTGCATCCTGGCTGGCTGATCAGCACACAGATAGTTCCAGACTAGGTATAGCATTGCTGTCTCTTGCCTGTAAGGGATATCATAGATGACAAGAAAGAGAACTCAGCTGGAAAAGGTTAGAGACAAAAGACACAACTTATAAGAAAAAATACTTCATTAGTTCAGCTCTTCATGGAGTAGCCAATAATCTTGGACCATATGAATTATATCATGCAAGTACATCTCATATGAGAATATATTTTCTAGAAGATTAATTATTTGGCATGGTGCAAGTTATGTCACAGAAAAGAAATGTTAACATTAGGAAGACTGAAACTTTTCAACCATAGCAAAGTTACATTGTAGAATATGATTAAGTTAGACACTTTGTCCTGTTTCTCCTGCCTTTTTTTTTTTGCCTTTTTTCCTGACTTGGAAAGTTCTGCTCTTTGCTCAGCTGCTGCTGCATTTTTATTCTCTCAGACATTTTGTAGGTCACAAGGGTATCGTTCTGACTGAGATGTGGTCAGAGAGAATAAGAAAAATCGATTTTGGAAAACCTCTGTTAGCACTCTTTCATGAACGTTTTGTTATATCCATTGTGAGCTTTTAAAAGACTGAACCTGTGAATTTGCTATTGCCATGTCTTTGTATGATTTTCGCAGGCTTGTAAGCTGAGAAAGAGCAGCACAGCACAGAAAACACCCCAGTCTTCAGGTGCACTGGGATAGATTCCCTTTTGTATTAGATGTAATTTAATATTCTGTGCACAGGCATGCAGAATTTCTTGCTGGGCGCTGAATTATGCAGAGAACTGTAGATCTGCAAACAGGAAGCTAAGCTTAGAAAGGATAATGTATTAAAAGTGCCAGTGAAAAGCTGTTCTGCTTTCTATGTTCTTTAACTCTCCCTAAAAGTCCTCTGTCCTTTACTAGATCTACAGGAAGATATGCGGTACAGATGTATTGAAAGGTAGTGTTCTCAAAGACTTGAAAACTACCGGTCCTATCTATCTGCCAAACTTTCATATGGTTCCCTTCACCATAACACCTTGGAATTTCCACTGATCAAGTCTCTGAAAAATCAATGCAGAAGATGAATTAAGTATATCTGTGTGTTTGTGTGAGACTGAAAAGCCTTTTGATTCACAAGCTCAGCACTGTTTTTTAGTTTTGTTCCACAGCAGCAGAGTGGAGCAAAAAAGTAAGGACTTGTGATTAAATAAACTCCTTTTAATTTTTCCATTCTGTTTTAGCCAGATGGAAACACATGGACAATTGGTTTACAGAGATCTTTATCCTCTCTCCTTCATTAGCACCACAGGGAAGTTTCTATAGTGGCTAATGCACTTACTGACATGGTTTCAACAATTTAATCACCCAGAAGCCTCTCTGTAAGGTCAATGTTCTCTACATTTGTTCCAACTCATTTACTGAGTAGAAAGGTGAACTTTTTCATTCCAGGTATGTCATTATGGAAATCACGTTAATGAATCAAGACACTGGAGGGCATATGTATCTCTGTTAGTACAAGATTAATGGAGACTTTATCAAGGAGGATTAGTCTTAGATTCTTCTGGCAAATCCAGGTCTGAAGTTTAATTGTACATTAATACTCTGGACTTTATACTGGCATAGCAGCTTCCATCTCAGAGAAACTCAAAATATTTTACAAGCATCACTACAGTACACATAAGGAATTCTTCTATTACTGAAACACAACCACTTGAGGGCACAAAGAAGTCATAGCATAGAGCACCATGTAGCAAACTGGGATGCATGTCAGGACAGACATATTACGAATCCTATTCCTGACACAAAAATCTGTTGGGCAATAATGGCAAGATTTTTTTTTTATTATTTCTATATCATATATAAAAGTATTATATAACCTGTATTTGGTTTTAAGGTTACTGGTGTATTCTACTGTTTATGATGGTAGAGTGAACTGAACAATAAAGTTGGCATGTTGTCACAATACAAATATTCACATAATGTTCACTAAAAATGTGCTGTGGGAAGTATTCTCTGATTTCAGAAAAAGTAATGAAATGTGTTTTGTGATTAACCAGATTTCTTGCTCATGAAAGCTTCCAGAAACCAAACAGAACAGTAATAGGGACTGAAAAGAGTAATTAATAGTAATCTAGAATTAGTGGGAACTGACATTTCTAATTCTTCCCATACTACATATTATTATTTGTTCCTTCATGATTCAAAGGCCTAAAGGAGAGAAGAGGAAGCACAGGTGCACTGAATATTGAAATTCTTTATACCTGAAAAGGACGGATAATTTCTTTACTTCCAAGGTATCTTCAGGTCCTAGTGAGATTTGGGGCTCTATATCCAGCTCTATTTTAGAGAACAATTTGAATATATTTGTAATTAACAGAAAGCTATATTTTTAAAAGGCATGGTTTCTCTAACACAAACTAATTTTACTTTTTATTAACAAAATCCAGCATAGTGCTATTTGGAATTAACCTTGCTTCTTCCCTTTGCTTTACCACTATATTATAGGAAATTGGTAAAATCAGACTGACACCCATTAGAGTTCTTTCATTTAGGGAAACAACACACACTGCTGACCTTTTCATTTTAAATCTTGTTGCAACAAAAAAACATATAATCAGCTTTAAAAGCTTTCCATATACAGAAATCCTGCTCCTTTTAGTATTTTTTTCCTTTGTTTTAGTTTAAAAGCTTTGGGGACAGAAAAGATTTAGAGTTTTCATATTTGCTGTAGTTTCAAATAATGAAAAAAAATCAAGCAGATTAATATAAAAATGTAGGTAACATCCAAAGGGCAACCCTGATTTCACATTCTGCTTAGATGTATTTATGTATGACTGAACACTGTCTTTGGAGAGAGAGGAAATACTTAGATCTTTTCATGTAGTACAGCATTATATCATATGCAGTAGATCTGATGAAAGAAATAGCCTCTCTTAACAATAATGGTTGTATTAATTTTGTTTCTATATGTTTAAATACATAACTATTATAGAATAATTTTGCAATAAAGTGACTCAAATACTCTAATCCTGACAGAAGCCTGAATATATGATAACTATGGCTCTAAAAAATAGAAAAGAAAAAGAAAACGTGTATACCTTGTTCTGCCCTATAAATCTACCCCTGTCCTCTGGGATTGGTGACAAACACTGGGAATATACTCTAGACATATTCAAGCCAGAGCTATCCTAAAAAACAAATGTCAGAAGGACCATTTACCATTGTAGGATATACCGTATTTCCCACAGAACTGCCTTCTCTCATTCCTCTTACAGTATTTCCACCTGTTTTTCTCCATAGTAGCAATAATGTACTGACTGGTAAAGAATATATATTTTAGCAAGTTGCCAGGACTCAGGATGTACAAGTGCCTCTGCATCTCAGCAATCATAGATCCTTTGTTCCTGTGCTGAGTTATGTGAATCATGCACATACAGAAGCAGAATGATCTATTTTTGCCAGGAGGACTCAAGTAATCTAGTTAGTTGCACATATAGCAGTACAATGAAAAGAAAGAATCCTAGGGTGAATGTCAATGGAAGATTAAGTCTGACAAGTCTGACATGCTTTGCACAGAAATGAAATAGTTTGCTATGTACAGTAAGTTCATGTTCAATGTCTTTGGCTTCATGTAATGCTGTGAAAAAAGTTGGGAGGGACTACTCTCTCCTATATATAAGGTTCCTATTATAACTGATACAGAGCAAACAGATCCCTTTATAGACAATGGGGTTAAATAAGCATTCTTAAACGTTTTTTTTTTTTTCTCTTCAGTCTGAATCTTTTCAGGAGTCAGGTGGCCCATAAGGAATTCCTTAGAGATGGAGGGACTGGAGCCAGAGATGGAACCAGCTCTCTGGGTTTGACAGACAGATTTGTCACATTGTAGTTTGATATATGGTAATCTAAACCAATATAGACCAAAGTCTCATTGCCACTAAAACTCTTTCTACAGTAACATCTCAGGTACCCATGTGCTGGGAAATATGTTAATAGACTTCTCCATTAATAGAATTGACACATTCCCCTTTGAGCAGAGGAGCATTGCTGGTAGGGCAGTTTCCTCACTCACAAATGTAAATTCCCGAGAACCATCTCTGTGAGAATAAAGGATTTTTACATTTTGGGTAAGGAAAGCAGGGCAAAAACTTCAGAATTTTCCTCCTACACCTTTCTCAGTCTCCTGTCTTTCAGAGTAAGCAATATGCATGACTAGGGGAAAGTACAAGGACAGAGCCAACATACATTATAATTCTCAAAAATATAATTTCCAACCTTCAGCCATTTGTACTATGGCTTTTTCCATGCATTTAGTAGCCTCCATCCCTTTTCTATGATTTTCCCCAGCCTCCGTTATTCCACACTGAGTAACTGCAGTGTAACATGGCAAAGAGTTCTATAGCTTAATGAGTTTATTTTTACAAAAAGAGAAATTGCACCTGACAGTGAAGATTGTCTCTTGCTCCCACTCTGCATCATGTCTTACAGTTATCCAGATCTTGAATTCTCTGGAGTTCTGATAAGAGGCAATGGTGAAAGGTGCAAGAAGAGAAACATGATGTCTTTCTTCTGCATTTATCAGCACCTAAGGAAAAAAAAAAAGGCAATTTTATATGCAAGTGCACAGAAGGAGCACAAACTCTTGGCTACTGGACCACCACTGTTTTTTGATAATTTGGGGGCAGGGGAAGTTAATAATAGAAAAATATCTGTTTGCACTGCTTAAGAACTCATCTCTTCTCTTTAAATATAAAGTGAGTCAGAAATTATAATTTTCTATTCTGCTATGTGTTATTTGTGAAAGTCATGCTTATTCTTTTCTATTGGTCCTCTGCACACATTTTCTTCACTGCAAGATAAAGTAACTCTCAGCTGTGCACTGCTGTGATAATTGAAGTAGATTGAGAGTGATTTGATAGATATGACAGAGGTAACCTTCAAATCATTCTCTTTTATGATACATACAACAAAATCACTGAACATGCTGCCTTAGCTAGGGGTTATTACAAGCGTAGCTCCCACCTTGCCAATACAGAGTTCACAGTGGAATGTCTTATCAATGCCCAGCTCACTGCCTGGTGTTATAGATTATCAAAAAGTGCAGAGGTACAGTGGCTTATCAAAAGAATCATAGCCCTCCAATGATGGGAAGAGACAGGGACTTCCATGGATGGTGCCTGCAAATACAAACTGAAAAAGAGAAATCTGGGTCAGCAAAGGACTACAGTATCCATGTTATTCATAAGGCAGTAGCCTACAGATCCATACTTTTGGATTCAGGTATTTAATAAGCTCAAAGAGCACTGCAGAACAGAAAAGGCTGTGACTGACATCCAGGTATCTTGCGTCTGCTTCTGTACAGAATGAACTGTGATACTGCAAAAGATTCAATACAAAAATGCTTTGTTTTGCATGAGGTACCCAGAATCAGCTATAATGCATAAGCAAGAACTCTGACATCTTAGTTTAAAAAAAAAAAAAAAATCTAATTTCTGGGTTAGAATTAGAGTTCTATACATGAGACAGCAAATGGGGGGAAAAAGAGGAAGGCAGAGAAAAGAGGAGACAGGAGTGTTGCCTTATCATCCATGAATACAGAACTAACTGCAATTCACTTTTATTCAGGAAATAAGGAATAGACCATACAAGGGACTGAGAAATTATACAGGGGTCTTTTCCAGGGCTCTGTGGCAGAGTAAAGCACAAACTGTGAGTGTTTGTTTGGGTTTTTTCCTTTACAAATCAGTATATTTCTTGCTAAGAATTACACAGGCTTACTGCAATGCTATTTGTTTTACAGCTACTGTTCCACAGATTTACAGCATATGATTGAGTACAACAGCATGAAAAGAGTCAAATTGAGCCTGTTCTACAGAAAGTGAATGCATGCTTTTTTTTTTTTTTTCCACATTCTAACAGAAATGTTCCTAATGTCAGCAATTTATTTAACAGTTTGCAACTCTCACCTGTTTGCTTTTCTCATTGGTTTTAATTCAGAAAAGCTGCATGAAAACTTATGGATGGAGTAGTATACTGAAGAGAATCAATAGCTTTGAAAAAATCATTAAGGGTTTTATTTTTTTCTGAACCTAAGTCCTACTGCTCTTGTATTATGTGTATTTGAGTACGTTGAAGTTTAACTCAAATATTGGTGAATCTCAGATGGATTGAAAAGTTTTAAAAGAATCATGGGAGTTATTAAGTAAACAGTTTATATCAGATACCAGGTATAAACTTATCTTTAAATATTTTAAATTTTAGGTATTTAACTATTATATTCATATTTTCATGTTTTTACATAAAGTAGCTACTGTTATGATTCTAAATTGTATAAGACTTGCCACATCTTCAGAAAACATTTATTTTCCTCTTGACAGTGATAAGAAAAAGCTATTCACAAGGTTTTTGAAGAAAAATATGGTCAGTAATTTGCTCCAGTAGACTTCAAAAATCTCTGAAATCCTTAGAATATAAGTTAACAAACTCTTGGAGTCTCAGATCTCCAGAAAAGTAAAATTCTATTTCATATATTTCTCAACACCTTTTTTTCAGTTTCCCCAACTAATTAGTGTTGATTTGAGAAGGGAGGTAAAAACATAAACTGGGATATCAATTTATTCTCTTACACACAAAAAAGCAAGTAGCAGTTTATAATTCTATCCCTCCTGACTACCAAAAATAGAAAAAAAAAAAAAAAAAAAAAAAAGAGTAAGTGAAGTTTCCAATCAATCTCTTCTTAATAAACCTGTTCTAAATGGATTTCCACTTGCCAGCAGTATATCTTTGTTTTCATCTTTAATTCCTTCTTTTCAGAATGACTCATTGTTTTCCTTCATCGTACACTCTTCTCTGAACAGGTTCTATGCTGATATGTCTCGTTAATTTTGAATGGTATCTGTTAGCTTGTACGTCTTCAGTTCTACTCATCTGCATCCCAGTCCCCCATTACTTCAGTTTGCTGCCAAGATGCAGAATGGTGCTGAAGCTTTGTGGTGTCCACCATTATCCTCTGACTCTCTGGCCTCTCAGCTCGAATTCATTATTGCTTCCATACAGAAGCACTCATCCCCAAAATTCCTCACGTTTAAAAGAGAGATATGGCTACACTTCAGACATAGCATAATTTTGATGAAGGGCAAAGCTCCTTTCCAAAATCCATGCTGTTATCTAGAGAGAAAGTGGAAAACTAGGAGAATGATTTAGTAACCTAACACAAACCTGAGCAGCACAAAGACACACGTGCTCATTATGGAAAAAATATCTCCCACAGTAGACTTGCTTAGAGCAAGTTCTTTGGCATGTAGATTGTTTCTTGTTCTCTGTTTATGCAAGGATAGTACAATGGGGAGCCAAACACCATGCGCGCCATGGGGCATCAATATGACATAGAAAATCAGCATCTGAAGGAAAAAGCAACTCTCACGACAGGCTCTGTGAGAATGATTGCCCCCAAATTTAGTCTCAGTCATCAAATCAGTCACCTGCTCCTACTTGTTGATATGCATTGGACTGAAAAAGAAGCATTTTTGTTTCCAAATGAAAATGGTCTAAGAAAAGCAGGTGTCTGAGACACTGCAGCTTCCCCTTTTTCCACTCTTTTGGCTGTTCATCTCATTTTCAATTCTGATAATTAACAGAGCCAACCTCCAGTCAGTATTCTTTTTTCCAGCTCATTGTTATAACTGGCACACTGTTCATGGTTTCTGTGCTGATCACAAAAGAATTGCTTTGCTTCTTCTCTGCCTTGTGCTTTCCTCATTTAAATGATATATGGTTTTGTACATTTCCATTGGCCCAGACTTCACTTGCTACTGGCTGCTGCCTCGCTCAGCAGCTCTCTCTGTTTTGTCGCTCTTCCTCCAGAGGTATGGATAGGAGGCTGAGCTTTTTCCAAAGCAACTCAATGAGCTTAGCTGGAGTGAGGCAAAAACAATAGCAATTGGCAGCAAAGGGTAGACAGACTAACAGAGGCTTTTAAATATTATGGTGTTAGAAAGCATACAGGAATTATAGACAGGAAGAGAATGGAAGAGAGAAAAATATAGGACAGGAGAAAGCAAAACATAAAAGACAATGAAGTGGTCAAGTGACAACTTCAGCAAGCTAAGAACAGTCCTGGTTTACATGTAGGCAGACAATACTGCCTAGAGTGACAGGACACTTGTTTCCTTTGTTCCGCTCTCAATGTCCTCTCTTTGTTCCCTCCTCCTCCTCCTCTCATTTCTTTTTTCCTTCTAGTTCTTTGAATTATTTCTTTACAGTATAGATTTTTCAGTTCTTCAGTTTATGTCTCTTAGCTTTTTGCTCCTGTGTTTGAAGCAGAGAGGAGGAAGAAGAGAGTTATACAAGCTTGCAATGCTAAGGACAATGACTGGACTTTGAAGCAGCAATGGAGAAGGAATCAGCAGAGAGAGGAAAGCACTTGTTTATTTCTCCAGCTCTGGTGTTACATTTTGTTCCACGACCCTATTAAACTTTTTTTAAAACATACATTACTTTTCACACATTCTTTGCTCATTTCCAATAGCTCACAATTATATAAGTATGACCCTGGCAACACCAGGTCACTACTGTGCATAAGCGTTATTACGAGTTCTCACAATCTTATCACCATTCTTGTAATATTTAATGCTTTTCTTGAAGCTCCATCTCTCATATTCATATCATTATGTGACAATCTCAAGTTATATTCTTTGAAAAATAAATGAAGGATGGGATTCATCTCACCTAATTTAGTATGTGCAGAATGTAGACATCTACATCTCAGCTAACCCCCTAGGCTGACTTTATAGTCAATGAAGAGAATTAGGCAATTTTAAAGCATGGTTCTTCTGATCTATTTCAGAGGTCTATTTTAGGATGAGATATGCTGTACCCAAGAAGTGCCTATTTCTCCCCACTGATGAAGAGAAAGCCCGGGATGAATGGCTGAGCTGTAGATGATTACATCTGGTCATACTTTTTACCTCTGGGCTTTGCAGAAAAAAATCTGAAAGTAATGTCTAATATGGATGACCTTATAATTGCTATTACATTAATATGCAAATATGAATAACCCCAAATATTTTAATTAAAAATGTATAAAATCTACAAGAATTTCAGGCTTTCTTTTCTTTGACCTATTTGATGACCAGGATGGTTTTTGTTGTTTTGCTGTGTTTGAATACCTGAAACTGGTATTAAATATTGTTTTATAAATACCATTTCCCCTTCTCTTCAAATCTTTATTTGTCTCTCACTTAGCCCACCTTGCAGTTCACTCACTTTCAGGGCTTTTTCATTTTCTGAGATTCACTGTCTTGACTTCTGCAAGGGTATATGGAAGGCAAGAACATCTGCTTCACAAGATTATCTGATCAAGGACCTTTTGAATGCAAGAGGAGATAAGTAAAGCAGAAAGGCATAACACAAAGAAAAACACAGTAGACAAAGGATAATAGAGTCAGTGGTAGAGACCAAAAGTTACTAGTTGCTGGACCATTAAGAAACTCCAAGCACAGCTTTGGAGAGGATCAGCCTGGAGTTTTTATTTGACAAAAAGGAGAAATCATGGGTACTCAAGATATTTCTGTAGGGCTATG